GAAAACATTAATAAGTTTCAGTCTTATTTAGAAAGTTTATCGTTTTATGAAGTGTTTTTGGAAACTGACCTAGATCTAGCTTTCAATAAATTTTATGAACTGTTTTAACTGTTTTATAAGCTTTGCTTTCCGGTAATAAAAATTAAATCTAACATTAGACCACATATAAAATGGATATCAAAAGGTATTAAAAAAAGTTGTTCTACGAAAAAAATATTACGTTACAAATATTACATTAATAAAACAAATCAGAATAAAGTTGCATATAACAATTACACAAGGCTTCTAAGAAGATGCATCAATTACGCAAAAAAACATAGTAATAATAAGTTTATACTCAATAGTAAAAATATTGTAAAATCAACTTGGAAAATTATTAAGAATGAACTAGGGCATATAGCAGCAGATAAACACATTGACTTAATTAAACACAATAACTTTATAATAACTAAACCTATGAAAATAGCTGAAGCCTTTAATAATTACTATATTAATTTGACAAATAAAATAAATAATAAAATTATATACAGTAATACACAAAATAGACTTCAAAATTCAATTTATTTAACACCGGTCGATGAATATGATATAAGTAAAATTATAATGACATTAAATAATACAAATTCAGAAGGTTATGATGGCATATGTACAAATGTTATCAAAGCGTGCAAAAATCAAATTAGTAAAGTATTAGCCTATTTAGTTAATTTATCAATGGAATCTGGCACCTTTCCAGAAAAATTAAAAACGTCTATTTTAAAACCATTATATAAAAAAGAAGAAAAAACACTAATGGAAAATTACCGTCCAGTGACATTGGTACCTATATTATCAAAAATTTTTGAAAAGGTCATGCACAAGAAGGTCATGACTTTCCTAAATAAGTTTAATAGAATAAATCCAACTCAGTATGGATTTCAAAAATCAAAATCCACGACACTGGCCGCTTTTAATTTAATAAAAAATATTTTACAAAATACTAATGACGGACTATTTACTACGGCCATCTTCTTTGACATGTCAAAAGCTTTTGACTTCGTATCACACGATCAGCTTTTGTTCAAATTAGATCAAAACGAAATTAGAGGCCAAGCATATCACTGGATTAAGTCATTCATACAAAACAGGCATCAATGTGTTGAGGTGCTAAAACTTGACAATAGACATGTAAGTCAAAGTTATAGATCCAAATTTAGAAAAAATGCGTTTGGGGTACCTCAGGGTAGTGTACTAGGTCCACTTTTATTTTTGATATATTTAAACGACTTACCTGAAATTACTAAATATAGAAGTATTTTATTCGCAGATGACGTCGCAGTAATAAACACAACAAATAAAAATATGTCACTAACAAAACATAATTTTGACATTAATCAAACAATATTTGACGTAACTAAATGGCTAAGTAATAATAATTTAACAATAAACTTAAGTAAAACTCAATATATAAATTTCAATAATATAAATAATAATTTAATAAATATTAATTATAATGGACAAACTCTTTGTAGTGCAACTAATATGACATTCCTAGGTATAATTATTGACAAAGAATTAAAGTGGAAAGAACAAGTTTGTAAAATATGTAATAAAATAAACAGGTTCACATATGCGCTTTATAGACTAACAAAAGTGGCAACAAAACAAACTGCAATTATGACTTATTTTGCATATATTGAGTCGATTATCCGCTACGGAATTATAATTTGGGGCAACAGTGCAGAGATTAATAAAGTTTTTATTGCACAAAAAAAATGTGTTCGTGCCATTCATGGTGTGGGCCCAGATGTTTCATGTCGACCTCTATTTAAGACACTGGGAATCTTACCCGTGCCTTGTTTATATATATTAGAAGTTGCTAAATTTGTAAAACAACACGGGAAAAGTTTTTATAAACTTAACAAAGAAGTGGTATCCATGAACACGAGATACCCAGATCGGATAGTAATTAGCGAAATACCGAAAAGTAAACGCTTTAGTAAAAATTGTTACTGGATGGGTAAAACAATATATAATAAAATACCAAACATAATAAAAGATCTTCCTATAAAAACATTTCAAAAAAAATTATACCAGTGGCTTCTTCAAAAAACATTTTACTCCGTAAACGAGCTTTTAAATTACTGATGAAAACTTTTATAGGACTATAGCTCAAAATTGACATTTTTTTTTGTTATTAACTGACATGGTATATAATATTGTTTAATTTAATTTACTTTATTTGTTAATTATAATTTTTTTTTGGTACTTTTGATATCTTTAGAATATAATTGGATGGATTGTTTGTTGTTGCTAATTTAATGATTTAATAATGATTGATTTTGATGTGTTAATTTTGTATAAATATAATTTCTAAGAATAAATAAATTTGCATGTCTCCATTAGAGACTTAGTGTGTATGCATAGTATTTAATAGTATATCATGTAACATACATACTAAGTAGCAAATAAATAAATAAATAATGACTTCGTATAAAATTAAGCAAAACCTACATAATATCTTTACCTCTGGCTTACATTTATATACCCTGATTGGGTGACTACACTCGATACAGGAATTAGATAAAATTGAGATAGCACATGCAGTTGAATGCGAAGGAACTGATCTTGACGGGCGCATACGCATTAACAAATGTGATTTTACTCTGGTAGCACAAAACATTGATAGTATATATAAAACTTTTACGATTTTACACTAAACCTTTCAACTTTATCATTTGAAACTGATATGATTACTTTTACAGAGTGTGGGCTAAACCAAAACAAACCGCTCCGCAACTAAACAATTACGAACTTTACTGTACTACACGCCAATTGAACCAAAATGATGGTGTGGTTGTCTATATAAAAAAATCTCTAAAACACAAAGTAAAAGAACAAAAATTACACACAATTTGGCTTCAGACAAGGAAGATCGACAGAAGATGCAATTCTCGAATTAAGCACATTTGTAAAATAACAACTCCACCAGAGTAAAAAATGTTTGTCGGTCTTCCTTGATCTGAAGAAAGCATTCGACAACGTCTCTGTCCCTATCCTTGTGCACAAGCTTGAAAAAATTGGAATAAGAGGGACTCCGCTTGCTCTTTTCGAAAGCTACCTGTCGGAGAGAAAACAAAAGGTAAAGCTTCCTAGGTACATTAGTGGGGAAGCGGGGGTGTCATCATATGGCGTTCCACAAGGTAGTGTTCTGGGGCCGACCTTATTTCTAATTTATGCCAATGACCCGTGCAGTATGACCATACCAAATGCTAAAATCCTGTCGTACGCCGATGACACGGCTGTGGTTTTTGCTGATGAATCTTGGGAGGCTGCCAAGACTAGTGCTGAAAGTGGTCTAGCCCGAGTCGCTCTGTGGTTGCAAAAGAATATCCTCACTTTGAATACAGCTAAGACAAATTTTATTTGCTAATATATAATGCTAAATTACCAACAACTTGCAGCCACAGAATGACTTTTGCCTCAAAATTCATATGTGTTTTGAGGATGCTAAAAACGAAGCTTATGACCCATCAATTGAAAAAGTCTCTCACAGTAAATATCAGGGCGTCGTTATAGATCAGAGGCTATCGTGGTACCTACACCTTGAGCATGTCATTAATAGGACCCGAAAATTGATTTGGATGTTCAAAACTCTAAGACACGTAATACCTGATAGTACTAAGCAGTCGGACTCTCCCAGATTTCTTCTTAACCAAATATACACGTCCCTTATACAATCTATCATAACATATTGCATTCCGGTGTGGGGTAGAGTTGCAAAGAACTTAACTTAGAAAGAGCCCAACGAACCCTTATTAAGGTATTTATTAATGTATTTTAAAAAAAAGACGTTTTTCCACTGAACAACTGTATAGAATAAATGGTCTACTCTCAGTTAGACAACCACATATTATTATGACAATCCTCAAAGCACACAAATCCCTACCCTTTGACCCATGCATCTTGAAAAAGCAGCGAAAAGATGTTGTGGTTAAGTCTTCTGATACCAAAACAGTTTTTGCTAGTAGGCAATTTAGCTCATGTTCAGCACCTGATACTAAAGTGGGTGCAGTCGAAAACCTATGAAGAAACCGAATTTCTGCAGTACCGCATTTCATAATTCGCTTTTATGTACAATATAATATAACAAAATAATTCTTCACACACACACACACACACACACACACACACACACACACACACGCGCACGCTCGCACGCACGCACGCACGCACGCACGCACACACACACACACACATACACTTTTGTAATTTTTGTAAATTTCGGTTTGTTAAAGTAGATCCAAACACAGGCATTATTTTATATATTGCTTAAATCGAGATCCCAATCAACTATGTCATTAATTTAAGTTTTGTGAAGAAAAATAAATTATTTTATTTTATTTTTATTTTTTATTAGTCAGTAACAAATGAAGTATTATAATATTAATTGTTATAATTATATAAATTATTAGATCTATTAAACCATTATTTATGTTTATTTACGGGGCTTTAGTTCTTCAAAATACTATATCTAAGCACACAATTTAGAGCTATTAAAATATGATTTGTATTATTTTAGTAAGAATAGTAAGAGTTTGGTAGAGTAGAATAGAGTACAAAAAAGAAGGGTAGAGTAGAATAGAGTAGAGTAGAAATTACAAATATAGAATATTTTTTATTAATTTAGATTTTGTTGTTTGCTGTCTATTTTGTGTTGCAGTTAAGCTGTCGTCAAAAGCTCCTAAAAACTTCGAAATGTGACGTGAAGAACAAAACCTATAAAAACGAAGTTGGCGATGAAATGAAGTCATGGCTTAAATGACTAGCATCCAAGCCAAAAATCTAATATATTTTAGAAATGACATGACATGACATTATATGCCCTATATCCGTCTAATATGTAGCTTTGACATGACGTTAAGAAAAAAAAAAGATGCTGCAATTGAAGAGTTGTTTTTACTTTCTACACTTTATATTTGTTATTGTTTATTAAAAAGTGCTGACTTATAAAAATGAATATGAACACTCTGTGTCGATGCTGTCTAGCGCGCCCACCTGATAAGGACCTAAAGACTGTTTACACGCGTCTTGGAAAGGCGGAAATATATGGAGATATGCTAAAAGAATGCTTCGAGATACACGTAAATACAGTCATTTGTTTTTATTAGCTTATCACCACCGAGGATATGAATTAAATAAATACTTCTCAGCGTACTCATCGTTGTCTATTTGATCAGATTTTGACCAGCTCATAGATAGTATCACTGAAGTATTGATGTTTGATATTCGACTTCAGCTTTCTTTGTAGCTAAATAGAAGCAAAATATTTGATATTGTAGTATAATAATACTGTAATAATGGTTAAGAGGATTTGAAATTCCCTAACTGGAGAATGCACAGATATTGAATTCACTTGCAACAATGTACTATACGATAATATTTTGTATCATTAATTTATTATGTCCATAATAATTATTAGTTTAGTATTAGATGCACATGGTAGATTGTACACAAATAGATCGGCTTGACTGGGGTAGGACCACACTCACAGAATACCTGCATAAGAAAGCAATGTATGTGTTTCATATGGTGAGTGTAGAGAACCAGGGAACCTTTTTACTGGAAATGAGGGTCAGGAGAGTCAGAGCATCTGCATTTTGATTCTTAATAGAGTATAAATGTAGATGTCTATGGGCCACAGCATCCACTTACCATCAGGTTGACTGTAGAGCATATGGGTGACAAATGAGCACAGTCGTTTGTCACCCATATGCTCTAAAAAAAATATTTTAGAATTGGATAAAGCAAAACCCTTGTGTAATTGTGTTGCATTATTTTTGTCTTTCAATAATACTGTTTAAATTTGTTTCTTTTAAGCAATAGACTTCAAAAGCTTAAAAAGTTTTGTGATGAAATGATAGCTTAAGGGAATCGAACACCCATGTTCTCCGATAGGTGTAGTAAGAGTTGATGGGGTACACACACCAAGAGATCAGCAGCAGTGTCTTCCTAATAACAACAAAATGAAAACATACTGTTATAAAAATTCACTTTAATAATAATAATAAAACTTTTATTATTTAGAAAAAAGAGCACATACGTAAATCATTTCATAAGATAAGAAAGCAAAATAAATGTTTGAAGTAAAATTAAGAGAGTTTTTCTTAATTTTATAATATATAGATACAGTATAATTTATAAGAAAGGTGTGATACATCAAACACAGAATTCTGCTAATTTTGTAAATTTAAAAGGTATTCTTTTAGTTTTATTTTAAAAGTACGAATCATATTGTATTAGATACTATGTATGGGTCATTCTACGATAAGAGGTTTTGCGTCTATAGAGGATGTGGCCAAGGAGAAAAGTAGGAGTTTTTTTGATTAAATACATATCTTAAGACTTTAGTTCCTTTTATACACACATTTACATAAGGGCAAGTTAATTTATACATATTTAGTTACTTTTTAACAAGCCAGGGTAAATACACATTGGGCAGGGGAGATACTTGAACATAATAAACAATTATTAAAATTAACTTTAAACAAAATTAAACTCAACAAACATACCAGCCGTGTAGTGGCGGTTAAGAATATCCACTACACCATATCTTCCGTGGGTGTCGTAAAAGGCGACAGAGGGAAACAGGCAGGAGATGGGCAGCAGCATCTTCCTGATAACAGCAACTGTACGACAAAAAAAACTGCGGTTGCCAACCCGCTCGCCAAGCGTGGCAAGTATGGCAATATACCCCCCCATGAACAATTACACAAATAGACAGCCCCCAGTCCCCGGCGGCCCCGCTATTCCTGGCTACGGTGGCGACCATGGTAACGGCGGGGCAGGGGGTGCTAAGAATCTCCGGTGGAGGTTCGGTTGCCACCTACGACGACTCGACCTGGCAACATTTAACGCACGCAGCCTGAGGACTGACGACAAGATCCTGGAGCTGGAAGAAGAGATAGACAAGTTGCGCTGGAATATTATAGGATTATCCGAGGTCCGAAGAGAGGGGGAGGACACGGTGATTCTCGAATCCGGCAACTTGTTCTATCACCGGGTGTCGGATTTATCGTCCACAAGTCTCTCGTCAACAACGTTGTAAAGATTGGGAGTTGTCGACGAGGGTCGCGTACCTGATACTGAATCACCAAACGGTATTCGCTGAAGGTCATACAGGTTTACGCACCAACCTCGGCACATCCCGATGAGGAGGTGGAGGAAATGTATGAGGATATTTCCAAAGCCATGCATTCCTCCAAAACCCACTACACGGTGTTGATGGGAGACTTCAACGCAAAACTAGGCACAAGAGAAAACGGTAAGCTGAAGTTAGAGAAATTTGGAGTAGGGCAACGGAACCGAAGGGGCTCAGCAGCTGGCCGACTTTATGGAGAAAGAGGGACTCTTTATGATGAACTCTTTCTTCCAGAAGCGGCCCCACAGGAAGTGGACCTGGTCGAGCCCCGACGGTTCGACAAAAAATGAGATTGACTTCATTATGACGACCAGACGCCAACTGTTCAGTGATGTCTCAGTGATCGCAAGGGTGAAAACTGGCAGCGATCATCGAATGGTTAGAGGCACTCTGAACCTAAACGTTAAGTTGGAGAGGTCTCGTCTAATGAAGTCAACGCTCCGTCCCCCTCGTGCTCTAATCCAGAATCCCGAAAAATTTCAGCTCGAGTTACGTAACCGCTTTCAGTGCCTACAAGATTGCAATGCAGTGGACGATATGAATGGCAAGCTCGTGGAAACTGTCCATGCGGTCGGAGCTAAGTTCTGCAAGACCCGCCGCAGAAGAACACAAAAACTCTCCGATCACACTCTTAATCCCATGGCTGTTAGACGGGAGATGAGGCTGCAATCGTCAACAGATTTGACAGCATACAGGCAACTGAACAGACAGATCTCCAAATGCATGCGGCGAGACTTAGGCAACTTTAATACTGCTCGTATTAAAGAAGCGATCGAGCGGAACCAGGGCTCCAAAGTCTTTGCCAGAGATCTGTCTGCCAGTAAGAGCCAACTGTCAAAGCTGAAGACTGAGTGTGGCAGCATCGTTTCCGGGACACCTGAGATTTTGAGTGAGATTTAGAGGTTCTATGGGCAGCTGTACACATCATCGTTGGAGCCACACGCAAGTGTGAGTAACGATCCAAGAGCAAGTCTTATCCGACACTATTCCGATGATATCCCGGACGTCAGTCTAAGCGAGATTAGAATGGCTCTCCAGCACCTTAAAAACGGCAGGGCCCCAGGCGAAGATGGAATTACAGCGGAGTTTCTGAAAGCGGGTGGAACACCGGTACTTGAAGTCCTTCAGAAGCTCTTCAATTCCGTCCTCCATGGTGGCACTACTCCAGAGGCGTGGAGCAGAAGTGCGGTGGTCTAGTTCTTTAAGAAAGGCGACAACGCTCTCTTGAAGAACTACAGACCGATTTCCCTTCTGAGCCGCGTCTACGTGCTGTTTTCGAGAGTCATTACGAATCGTCTCGCACGCAGACTCGACGACTTCCAGCCTCCCGAACAAGCCGGTTTCCGAAAAGGTTTCAGTACCATAGACCACATACATTCCCTGCGGCAAATTGTACAGAAGACTGAAGAGTACAATCTGCCACTTTGCCTGGCGTATGTGGACTATGAGAAAGCCTTTGATTCCGTCGAAATTTGTGCGGTGCTACAGTCCCTTCAGCGGTGCCAAGTTGACTGTCGGTATATCGAAGTGCTGAAGTGTTAGTACAGTAGGGCTACGATGGCTATCCGAGTACAGAACCAGAGCTCGAAACCTATCCAACTGCAGAGAGGTGTAAGACAGGGTGACGTTATATCCCCGAAACTCTTCACCGCTGCATTGGAAGACGTTTTCAAGCTACTGGACTGGAAAAGATACGGTATTAACATCAATGGCGAGTACATCACTCACCTTCGATTTGCCGACGATATAGTCCTTATGGCAGAATCGCTGGAGGATTGCAGCACTATGCTCAATGACCTCAATAGTGCCTCCCAACGGATAGGTCTTAAGATGAACATGGACGAAACAAAGATTATGTTTAATGTCCATGTCACACCTATGCCGGTAGTTGTTGGGAGCACTATGCTCGAAGTTGTTGACGAGTACGTTTACCTGGGACAAATAGTTCGACTAGGTAAGTCCAACTTCTACCGAGAGGTCAATCGACGGATTCAACTCGGCTGGGCAGCGTTCGGGAAATTACGACATATCTTCTCGTCAGGTATACCTCAATCTCTAAAAACTAGGTTGTACAACCAGTGCCTGTTGCCAGTGATGACTTACGGATCTGAGACGTGGTCCTTCACAGCTGGCCGTATGAGGACGCTCAAGGTCGCTCAGCGAGCTATGGAGAGGGCTATGCTCGGAGTTTCTCTGCGTGATAGACTCAAAATGAGGATATCCGCAGTAAAACCAGAGTGACCGACATAACCCAACGGATTAGTAAGCTGAAGTGGCAATGGGCCGGCCATATAGCTCAAAGAACCGATAACCGATGGGGAAGAAAGGTTCTCGAGTGGTAGCCTCGTACCGGTAGGCGTAGTGTAGGGTGAGTGAGACCCCCACTCGGTGGAGCGACGACCTGGTAAGATATGCAGGAAGTCGATGGATGTAGGTGGCTCAGGACCGTGCTTTGTGGCATTACTTGGGGGAGGCCTATGTTCAGCAGTGGACTTGTGAAGGGCTGTAATGATGATGATGATGATGAAACTAAACATTGTACTTAACTTATAATTAGAGTATCTTTTTTGTATTACACTCTTTCTTTAAATATTATAATAGGGCTTTTTTAGTGTCTGTGACAAAACATTTATAAATTAGGTAATAAGAAACATTATACCTACAACAAATAATAAAATAATCTTTAATCAATTCTAATTAAGGAGACTTGTAGTTCTGCATGTATGGGACATTAAAAAAATCGAAGACATGTGAAGTCCACCATAACATATTGGGGCAGTGCGATAGACACTTCTTTGTCCTAAAACCCTCTTAGTGAAAGTAAGCTTGTGCCTAGAAGTGGGACATAAATAGGCTGTAACTTCTTTACTTTTAAGGAGACTTTTTTTGCAAATTCATTATTTCATAGCTTGCTTTTATTTTACGTTTACTTTCCATCAATCA